TTGGTTAACAAATTGAATCCTCTTATAAGTTAAAATAAATTTTTATATAATATTCTCACCAAAAACATGAGGAGAATAAAACAAAATTGACAAATATGGTGAAAAAAGGAAAATGAAGACATAATTAATAATTTTTTTTTTAAATATTGAAGTTAGGATTACACTCCACCAGCTCAATTACTAGTTTTTGGAGTTTTCCCAGTTTAATTTTAATTTATATAAATACGGATTTTAAAGTTAGTCCTAACCATATTATTATTAGTCTTGCCACGGAGTCTTACAACATTTTTTGGGTTTTTGTATTTCTTTATATATGGATTTTATTGAATAAACATTAGATTTTATTCATATGGTATTTGTTGCCTTAGAAAATTTGATTTCGATCAAGTTTTCAATTTATATAATTTAATTTTAATACAAAATAACGATTATCGTGGCTACACAAAAAGCGTGACAAAAATATAATTATGATTTTTAACAGAATTTATTTTTATTAGTGTATTTTACTATGTATTATAGTTTTGTTGGAATAGCTAAAAATATATTATTTTACTTCAGATATGTAGTTATGTAATTTCATATAGTTCATGTATCTTGCTATGTATTATATATATGTTCATATAATTAAACATATATTATTATAGTCCAAATGTGTAGCCATGTAATATCTCATAGTTCGTGTAGCTAACAATAATTTTTTCTAATTTTTTACCTAGCTACTAAGTAACTTAACTATTAAGAACCATGAAACAAAATTCGACGTGATACTAAGACAAGCCTAGATTGTGTTGTGACAAAGCGACATACTAAATATTCTACAGCTCACAAGTGCATCAAAAGTGTTTTTTTCTTTTTTTAATCAAAAGTGTTTTTTTGTCATCGAATCAAATTAATTTTATCCTTTTCCAAATGTGACTTTATTTGTTTATAGTTCATACTCGTAAAGGGGAAAGTGAGAGCAGCAGAAGTATTTGACTCTTTTACAGCCGTGAATTTTGTGAATCCAAATCTCCAATATATGATTCCATTTAGCC